TTATCAACCCTTTATCTAATTTTAATCTCTGTAAACCTGGTAAATAAAGATGGTTATGGTCAATTTAGCCCCATTTTGTAGCTGCTTTAGCTCTCTGTACAGCGCACATGCAACATCAGCTTCAAAGCCCTATTCAGCACTGATTTATTTTTTTGCCTAAAGGCTAAAGCTGCTTCTTCTTTTTTTTTTTTTTTTTTTTTTTAAGTAATAGCTAGCTGACCCACACTAGCAACAAGGAAGTTGTAAAGAAAAACAGCATGGTGTTGACTTTATAGGAGAGTTTACAAAGGTAGCCAGGTGATAGTAAAAACAAATTTAAACATTAGGAAAAAAGTTAATTGCTCAAGATTTTCAAATTGGGAAAATTCTAGGGGTTCTGATTTTATAGTACAGCTGGATACATGAATTTAGAAGTTCAAAATTGATTTCAATAAATGCTCAAAAGACATACTTTCTAACATCTCTCTAGCATCATATGGATTCTTGACCTTACTTATGCATTATCAGACTGACAAAATTCAATATTCAAGGCCTAAAGGGTCTGTTATCTGCTACTTTGTTCTAACAGGATTTTGGGGTGTCCTGGAGGTACTGAAACATTGAACATTGGATCCATGTGATCATTCATGGATGAACGAACACTGTCATGAAGATAATGACAAACTACAGAGCAATACCTCAAATCAAAGAACTAGCCCAGAAGTAAAATTCCGAATTAATCTGACATCCTTCACTGATCAGATCAGGCTCTCCAAGGCAAGTCTGGAACCTAGACAATTTATCCTAATTTTTCCAGAGGCCCACGACCTAGCTAAGACTGAACTGGTCTCCAGGGTGTACAAGCTTCAGAATGAAATCAATAAGCTAAATTTCTAAACAAGCACTCACGTACATGAAAAACCACTTATGAAATATGAGTAAAGTATCAAAAAGCAGTATTTTAATTTAACAGAAGAGTAAACTTTCAAATATTATGACACTAAATGCAAAAAGATAATATTCCCTACAAAACTATTTTAAATAAATGCATAACTTAAGCATCCTTTTTCATACTTATGATTTATATATGTAAGCTAAATTGCTATTTCTTCTTCTGCTTTTGGAAATAGAGAATTACTGCTTATAAACACTTTCAAATGATTAAATGCACACACAAGCATACATAATATTACAAAAGAATCTAGCAATCACAATTTCCTCTAATTCCTAGTAACATTCCTTCTAATTATTTTATCTATATTACTTATAAAGATACTTTATATTTCTGCAAATTATGATATAATTATTCTAGAGCAACTTCCATAAAGAGAAAGTTTTCTAAAAGCATCAGTGTAACTACCGCAACCCAGAAAAATTATTGATTCAATAAATTTGTCCTGTAAATTATTTCTTAATCTGACATGAGAACAACATGAATTAAGAAAAAGCAACAGCACTATCATTTTCAGGTATTTTAAATCTGGAAGTGCATGCGACTTAAAAAGTTGAGAACAATAACACTGTTAAGAACAGGTTTAATTTTGGAAGTCAAATAGTTTATTAGATTTATGTAAAAACAAACAAAAAATTATTTTAATCATTTTTGCTTAATGCAAAATTTTCTAAGCAATTAGAAACCATTAAAAAAACCACAGAGTTTCAGAACAAAGCAAATGTCTTAGACAATATAACCTCAGTAGGGAATTTGGTGGTCAGCCTAAAAAACACTTTAATAGCTTTTCTAATTAAAACTCACCATCATAAAAAATTAACCACTAAACTTAATTTCCTATTAAATATACTGTGCTAAATCATTTTTATTAAAAACATGTTTTATTAGATTTTCCAACTAAATTAAATGGTGAATAGTGGTTGCTTTTATTACTGGCTTATATGCTTTAATAATTACTTCAAACTATCCTACTCAGCTAAATTAGATGTAATTTTAGTCACAGACATATTTTTACTGAAATTTTATTCAGATATACACAGAACAGTCAACAAGTACTATGTGTGTTTGTGTGTGTGTGTCCTTAAATTAAATGCAATGTATGCAATATTTAGATAGGTAAGGCTGCAAACAGACTGCGGAATTTATTAGACTAGTAGAAGGGTGTTTTCAAAATTATTAGAAGAACTGCAGTACACAACAATTGTTATAACTAAGAAAATTGTGTTAACTGAAATCCATATAAACTTGTGTATCAATCCTCACTCATGTAATGCAGAAGGTAATGCTGACCTAAACCATAACACAGCACTTGAGTATGAACTACACCTACATTATTCAATGCCCGTGAGACAGCTGTCATCCTGACACTCTAAAAACTGCCAGGTAGAAATGTGAGGAATGTTTTCAAAAGTATGGTCTGGCACATTGGCTCCACGCTTTTTCCCACCTATTATTTTGGTCATCTCATCTAAGGTGAATCCCATTAATCTGTTCTTTTTTTTTTTTTTTTAAAGTTCCCCAGATAGGAGTCTATGCTGCTAGCTCAGCCAGCGTGTAATGTAAATTTGAAAAATAAAAAGTGAAACTCCCACTGCCATAGCTCTTTCACCGCTTATTTATCTCACAACTAAATCACTGTATTTTAAATTTACTCCCTTCTACGTTTCCCCTCAAAACAGGACTGTGGTTATTTACAAGTGTACAAGTCAACATATACACGATGTACATATGTATGCATTGTCCTGAAACAGAGGTACATCTCAACTTCAAAAATACATTGCTTTCATATTTTTCATGTTCTATTTTAAGTCATTTTAGAGCTTGGGCTATTAAGTTGAACCAACATGGCAATTTCATATGGTTCAACCTAATATGTCATGTCCATGCCTATAGACTCACTGTGTGATTCATTCTAGGGTTCAATAGATATTCGTTGCATGAATAATGAAATATTGGGCCTCTCACCACTTACTCTTACATAAGTATCCTCAAGGCTCCAAGTGATATACTTTTTACAATTATTTCTCTGAATGAGACATTTGCCTCCATTTTACCTAGTTCTTAAACATGGTTCCTATTTTGGGTGAATGCTGTATCATGTAAGTCTTAGTGGGAAGCAAAGATCTCCACTACTGAAGCCAAAAGTGACTCAAGCCTCAAAGAATCTTGGAAAAATATTTAACAGAGACACTATTTTTTTCAGTGAATTTCTCAATAACATTTCTTTTGAAACCAGTACAGTATGGATTTTGCTATGGGAAAAGTGTTCTAGACTAGTATGTTCTTATATGAAATATCTATGCATTCCTGGAAGCAGGAATCTAATTCTACATTCTATAGTCATTTGTTATATAGTCTAACTAGGCTTTGATGGACTAAATGGACATCAGTTTGATTCAATTTTTTTCCCCAAGGAGAATCAAAACAAGTGATTTTTCTAAGTTTTAGTAACTGTCTTCTGAGCTTTTGATCCTGAGAGCCATAACATTTTTAAAGGAAAATTATGATTTTACTCAAAGATAAGCAATTCATTAGAATGCAGAATACTTACCTCTTATTTAACTTATAATATATTTATAACATATAAATTATTACTTAATTTTCATTAACCTGATATTTATGGTAAAAATTCACCTGTTCTTAGCAGTGAAGTAAGACCTAAATTTCATTAAAGTTTATTATAACTAAGCATGATTTTGTAAGATAGATCTATCTGAGTTTAATATATGTATGCATATGTATGTGGCTTAGACGCTAAATTCCAGTTCAATTTTTTGCTGTTTATCAAAAATGGCCTCACCAATTGAAGCATTTCAAAACATTTCTAGAATACAAATATTATGCAGAAATGGGGGAAATCTTCAAATTCTGGCAAATGTACTATGCATTTCTAAATGCTAATAGAATGATCAAATACATCTTTGAATGAAAAAGTTGCTTGGATATATATATTTTTAAGTCCATCATGAGTAAAAGTAAATGTTGAGTAACTCTTTTAAGAGAATTTTTAACTCACAAGTCCTTCTCCCTCTTTTCTTGTTACTAGATGTTACCACACCCCTTTGCCTGGCACATAGGACACTGTTTGTTAAGGTTTAAATGTATAAACAAGCCATTATTTGATACATTAATGAAGTACGATACTGCAAAAAAAACTATAATAAAAAATTTCTACTTTACTCCACTGAGTCACAGTTTTTAATAACAAGTATCATAGTAAGCAAGGAAAAATTTTTATTTCCCTATCTACAGATGTATGCACAAAACTATACAGTCATAAAAAATTCATGTAAACTTAATACAGGAATAATAAACTAATGCTGAATAAAATAGGCCAATTTCCTTCTATTTATAACCCTTAATTTTCATCCACAATTACCCAAGTAAGGTACGTTATTTGCATGCATAATATTATACTTAAAAAGACAAAAATCTACAAAGGTAGTTTTTAAAGATTGCTGATAATATGAGACCTAAAGTGTTTTAACCAAGAAGTCTACTTTCTCTACATATTCAGTTTTCTTCTTATCAAGAACAATAGGATAACTCAGGAATCTTCAATGCACTCTGGAAAACAGAGATCATGATCTTTCTCTCCTTTACAGCTGGTAAAACTGCATTTTTGTATCAATTGTTTTTAGTAACAACTTTGTCTTTTAGAAAAAGAAAAATGTCCAAATAACTTTTGGTCATATTTAAACTCTTAATTCAGTCAGAAGAATGGTGGCCCAAGAAACCAAAGCTAGAAAACATAACCACAGGAACCCAAACTACACTGACACAACACAATTTAAGTTCAGGGGGCAAAACATGGGCAAGCTTGAAGTTTTACGACTAACGTCTGTTTATAAATCAGTCTATTATCCTAGTTTTGAACAAAGTATTTGAATTCAAAAATAACGAAGTGGATAATGTAAGTGGGTAATGTAACTTGAGTACACAGAAAAAGTCCCCATAGAAACAGATAAAGAATTGACACACAAGTAAGAAGTGGTTGTTTTAATAAATTCTGACCCGGGTTTTTGTTGTTTTGTTTTGTGTATTTGTTTGTTCGGTTTGAAGGGCTTACCATCTTGCTGGCCATGAAAAGCCTGGGGACTCTGCATTCTCTCCTCAAGGTTGGAGCTAAGGTCAGAGTTCACAGCTGACATTCGTGTGGAATCGCTCATATCAAATTCATCACTTTCTATTGAACTTTCATCCTGAAAATGGTTTTAAAATCAACAAGAATCATAAAATATAACACATCAAAATAGTAATCATTTTATCAGTAGGCTCAATTAAAGTTTATCCTGTATGTGAGCTTTTATAGAACTCAGTAAAATGCTACACATTATTAAATTCTTAAAACAACAAATACTAGAATAATTTCTCCTTTTAAGGAATATCAAGACTTGTGAAGATTCAAACAATGTATCTATGTACAGGCAAATTTAAAAGGTAAAATAATGTGCTTAGGAATGATATACTTGGGGACTTATCCTGAATAGTGAAAGAATGAATATTTTTATTAATTGGCAAAAAGCTTCCTAAAAAAGTCAATCACAAAACATGGCATAAAGAGAAATACATGTTTTGATTGTAAAAATAAATGACCTGATAAACTATTACAGGCAAAAATCTTACAATGCAATAAAAAACCTTAACAAAAAACCTTCACTGGTAAACAGGATGGACTCTAATAATAGGTACATTCACAGGGCTAGATTCAAAGTCCATGTTGCTGGAGAGCAAGGTAACCTGAGCACATCCTTTCTTTTCTCAAAAGTAATTATAAATTGTATTGCAAACACAAAAAGGAGTTCTAGGTAAAGTGCAAAAGAGGCATTTACCAAAAGCCAGTTCACCAAATAGCTAAATTAGCCAAAGACGAGTTTGTGAAATGGCCAATTCATCACACCTGTCAAATATAAACCAAATCTAAAATATTTTGCTGTAGACATTTCACTGAAGCAAACTCCTTTTGGAGAACTGGTTTTTGGACAAATGGTGTGCTTATGTAGGCAGGAAGGCCTGAGAAACCTGTGTGAAATATTATAAATATTTAATTGAAATCACTAGGTTTGACTTTAATTTGTAAATGTTTGCTCTGAAAGTTTAGCAGTAGCAGTAGCAGCAGTAGCAGTGCTATTTGTGTTGCAGACACTGTTTTTTATATTTGTTCACTCACTTCATCTTCATCACAACTTGAGTTAGGTACCAGGATTCATCCAATTTTACAGATTGAGAAATTGAGGCACAGAGGACTTACATGATTTATCCCACTATTATATACCCTTAATTAGGATTCATATGAAATCACCCAGGCTTGAGAAAATAGCTTCTTTGAATAGTAAGATTACCTTGGCTTCATAAATGACATCTTGGTATCAGCAAAGAAGTTGCTATGGTTAGGGAACAGGAATATTCTAGTAGACTAACAAATGGCATTGACTCACAGGTCAGGTCAACCTGATTTTGGTCCTTCCTTTACCAAAAGACTGATCATGTCTGGGTATACTAACTCTTCATTAATTCAGCATGGAAATGCCACCCTATGAGGCCTCTGGGAAATCAGCCACATAGGCTTCTCCCGGCGCCATGCCCTCTCACTGGGTACATTATGTTTTCTCCAATTCTATATTCTAAGAAAATCCAAAGCATCTGAAACATAGATGTTAAAAGGAGAAAAAGTAACAGAACTTAATGTGCACACCAATGTTGTCAATGTGTACCATATACATACATATAGGAGGTCTGACAATTAAATTCGCAAACTTGTTGCAACAATGTTGCTAACCTTTTTTGATATCAGAGGTATTATTCATTATGAATTTATACCAACAGGACAAACATTTAACCAAGTTTACTATTTGGAAGTGCTGAAAAGGCTGCGTGAAAAAGTTAGACAACCTGAACTTTTCGCCAACAATTCATGGCTCTTGCATCACTACAATGCACCAGCTCACACGACACTGTCTGTGAGGGAGTTTTGAGCCAGTAAACAAATAACTGTATTGGACACCCTTCCTACTCACCTGATCTGGCCCCCAATGACTTCTTTCTTTACCCAAAGATAGAGGAAATACTGAAAGGAAGACATTTGGATGACATTCAGGACATCAAGGGTAACATGACGACAGCTCTGATGGTCATTCCAGGAAAAGAGTTCCAAAATTGCTTTGGAAGGTGGACTAGGTGCTGGCATCAGTGCATAGCTTCCCAAGGAGAGTACTTCAAAGGTGACTGCAGTGGTATTCAGCAATGAGGTATGTAGCTCTTTTTCTAGGATGAGTTTGTGAACTTAATTGTCTGACCTCATACATACATACATATGCACACATAACTAGGTGATATAGTTATGCGTTATATACATATATACATATATATAGTGTGTGGTGTCATATTTTAGAGCACTTTCTCTAGAGCCAGACTGCCTGGTTCAGATCCAAGCTTTTCCACTTATTAGATGTGTGACCTTAAGCAAGTTACCTCACCTTTTTGTGCCTAAATTTCCTCATATATGAAATGAAAATAATAATAGTATCAAGCTCAAAGGGTTATGTAAAGATTGAGGGGGCATAATATATTCAGAGTAGTTAGAACAATGTCAGATATATAGTAAACACAAAACTGATACTGTGATATAGAACATATAGAACATATTCTACACTATATAAGATTCATATTTACTATAATATGAACACATAAAAATAAATTTAAATATAATGGTAAAGATGATCAACATGTGTTTATAAAGTAGTTTGTATTCTACATAAACATAGTCTTTATAATAAGCATTTATTATATATATTACAAATGGCTAACTATATATAGCCTAGTAAAATATCATTTCCATGATGTGTGTGTGTGTGTGTGTGTGTGTGTGTGTGTGTGTTTAAAGAAAAGCTAGACACAGAGAGTCAGGTCAGTCTCTGTTCCATGGAATGGTTATAAACTGTTATAGCACATTATGAGTAATCGATATACTTTTTATCATCACTAATTACACTCATGTCAGCATACTTTTTAAGAAATGTAGACAAGAGATTAAAATGGTTACGTAACCAAATGTACCTGTTCTGCATTTTTATTTTTTAAAACTCACCATTTTAAGGTATTTATTATCATAAGTGGCTTAATGATTATGACTATTTTAAATATTTCCCTCCACGATGTCCAATAAAATATAATTTGTTTTTCACAGTTCTACTACTTGTTAGAATATGAATTATTCAATTGCTTACATTTATAAAGGGCTTTAATGAAACCAAGTGCATGCATTCATTATGTAAGTTCTATTCTAATTATTAACTGATTAATTTATTATCTTTCAAAAAGTGGCAAAGGTATATAAAATATAATACTGTGTTTTTTATTATCAACACAGAGATAATGATAATCACACTAGGAAAAAATTACTGAATATTTCTAAGGGTGAAGAATCAGAAACCTTGATTGATATGATTAAGTATTTTATTTTATTGATGATAATTTTTAGGCCATTCATCTAAATCCTTCCCTCTGCATTTTATTTGGTAAGACAACCTGTGGAGAAAAAGAGTCTCCACATCCTACAATGTGAGCTTATTTCTTATGTGACTCAAATCTTATTATAATAAAAGCCATGGAAAACCATAGAATTCTGATTCCTTTAAACTTAATTTTTAAAAATTAGAATAAACATTTTACTGTAACAATTTTCTTCCAAGTCTTTTCTCTTTTAAAAATGACACCTTATTTCCCTTTTAAAGTGGCACTTATTTTTTTTTTCAATTTTGAAAAGGCGCTTGAAATTCAGATCCCTAATCTGTTCCATATTTCATTTTAGTTTTTGAGTACCAGTTTTTACCTCTAGAGAGTCTCTACTATGTACCTCCCGATTCCCACTGCTGTTGCCCCATTGGTTCAAGTTCTCCTTTTCCATTTCCTAAACAACAGAATAATAGTCTCCTAGTTGTTTGTCCAATTTCTTCCCCACCAGTCTTGTTCGTCAACTACTGCCAAATTAATCTTCCCATTTCAGAACAGCCACTTCTCTGCTCATAAATTTGCAGCTATACGTACGAGTCAAAGTATACCAAGTAATATGTAAGCTACTCAATCAAGCATTCAGGGTTTTTCATAAAACTCCTTGAAAACCACTCCCACCAATCTCATCTTGTTCTGTTTTCACTTACCTTATGCTCAAATCAATTTAAAGCCTGTGTTATTAGCCTGTCTGTGAAACACACCACTTCAAACCTTAGTGTAGATGAGGGTAGACCTTGTAAAAAATTCAGATCACCAGGTTGCACACATCAGATCTAGAATTATAATCTTGGGGTGAGGGTCCTGCAGCAGGCAGTTCAACAAGTTCTACGGGGTGTCTCTAATGCTGGTTATTTAGGCACTGCTGCTCAAGACAACATTCTGCAATGATGGAATTGCTCTATAACATTCCCTATTCAGTGACCACCAGTCATACTTGGCTATTGAGCACTTGACATGTGGCGAGTGTGACTAAGAACTGAAAATTTAATGTAGGTAATTTTAATTAATTTTCAGTTAAATTTAAATATCCACATGTGGCTAGTGGTTATCACATTGGACAGTGCAGATGTGACAATTTCTCATTGTTGGATCCAATCATTCACTGTTAGCAATGCAATAAACATCCTAATACATAAATTATCTCACACATCACATTCCTTAATATAAATTTCTAGTCAAAGTGATGTAGGATATTTTATTGTGTGTGACGGGATCGTGGTCTCGTGGCACCGAAGAATGGAGGCGCGGACCAGAGAGGCAAGGTTGCAGAAAAGGACAGTTTTATGAAAGCAACGAGTTATAGCTCTGGATGAGAGGGGGTACCTGAAACTGGGATGCCCACTAGCTAAGGCAAAATGTGTTTGCTTTTATACTGTTTCTAGCATATCTGGGGAGACAAGCAGGTGTCGACTGTTACAGTTTCATCAGGTTTGCTCTGCAGTTCAGCCTGGAGGAGCTTTGTTCTGCTGCTCAGCTGCTCAGCCCAATTGTCCCAGAGCATAATTGATGCTTTTTCTCCTGCAAGAATGTGTTATCTCCAGGCTAGGCTCTCAAGGCTGAGGCTGAGGTTTTGAAGACATGACTGTTTTCTGCTCAACACGTGAAAGATACAACTGTTGCCTGCTCAGCTCATTCTACCAGGGAATTCCTAACTGCCTGATGTCTTACTAACTAACCTACCTCAAAAGCTTATAAATAATTTTTAAAAGTTTTAAATAATTATCGCCAAATTCTTCTCAAGAATGTTTGTTCTGGTTTAAACTTCATCAACAGTTTATAACAAGGTCAACTGATCTTACATTGGATATAATATTTTGTAATCCTAAAGGGATTCCCATTTCTGGCCTTCTTTATTTCTCATAATAGCATTTACCGTGGTTCCCGAAAACAAGACCTAACTGGAAAATAAGCCCTAGCATGATTTTCAGGGTGTTCATAATATAAGCCCTACCCCAAAATAAGCCCCAGTTAAGATCGTCAGCCAGACATGACTGTATTTGAATAAATGTAGATTTTTGTACATGAATAAAATGTGTCTTTTGGAGCAAAAATTAATATAAAACCCAGTCTTATTTTATGGGAAACACAGTAGTACCTTCTTATATACATATTTTCATTATTCACTTCCTCTTTCATCTCCCCTGGCCCCACTTGAAGATAAGCTTAATAAAGGCAAGATTTTTGTCAATGTATTCATTGTTTATCTCCATTATCTATGAGTGCCACTTACATAGACAGTACTCAGTAAACTAATTTAATTAACACTATAAATATAACTGATCACAAAGGAGTACCTCACTTGAATCTTATTTTAACATGACTTTGACTTAACCACCTTCCTATCTTTCAATAATTACAATTTCTACTATTTTATAAATAATCTGACTAGTCATTTATCTGAATATTTTTTAAGGCAGTGTATATCCAACTTGGTATTTTAAAAATGTAAGGATAAGAGTTCTTTTCATAATCCAGTTATAAGTTTAAAAGACTCTATTTTCTTTTTGTGAAATACATATGATTTTAGAAGCCATAAGGACTCAGCATATGTGAGCTTTATTGTTGGCACAAAGTTGATCTTACTTTTGGCCTAGAAATAAACATATCAACATCTAAATGAGCTTCCTACAAATAATTTGACAGCTCTAACTAGTTTATGAGGTTTTTAATTCTTTTTCAATTACATCATGAATCGTGGGAATAATTTTTCCACTTTCAGGGATGAATAGAAATTAACATTTGTTGTCACTCATCTTTAACCAAAGGTTTTAATACTATTTATTTAATCATTTCTAGTTAGCCATCTGTTAATATGGAATCTTACACTTCCACTGCATTAATACAAATCTTCTAATAGAAGTCTTTTGAGATAAAACAATTGTATAAATATCATTTTGAAATTAAATCTGCTCAAATAAAGTGAAAAACAAAAACAATTTGATGTGGGCTTTATGAAGTTAGCTCAGTGAAGTAATTTTAGGAGAATTTAATAATATTTCACCAAATAATGCCATATTTAAAAAATAGATATGATTATACTGGAAATACCTATTCAATCGACTTTTCTGATTTCCACGCAAAGTAGCCATAGTACTAAAGGCTTGGATACTTTCCTTGAATACTCCCTCAGTTGGGATACTTTCCCCTAAAGTTTCTAGCACTTCATTACGGTTAGCTTGACAGAGGTCAATTCAGGAAAACGAACCTTCTTAGGAATAAGCCAATTCCCACCTAGCCTAATGTAGATATGTTAAGCCAGGGAATCTCGATCATCTCCATCTGTGCAATCTTGGTGACACTCCTTTCATTAAAAAATAAATTACCATCTTCAAAATGCCATCATGCTTAATATGACAGTCATGGTTATCAAGCTTCATTCCGACTTTAGTGACAACAAACATAGATGTTTCCATTTTACCTCATCTTGCTGTGAGTTTAGCAGCTGCAGCTTCATGTGCTTCATATAGGCCATGGTAATTGGCATGTTGTAGTCAATCATGCTGGTCACCAAAGTGGGAGGTTTTCCATTATCTGTAATAGAACATTTTTAATGGGTAATGAAAGTGATACTGCATTCTACCTGTAATTTTCAACATGACCCAATTTGTTCAAATTGAGATAAGATTCTAGATACGAAGTGTGTAGGAGATTGGGAGCATGACAGATGGATTGTAGAAAAAATAACCGGTAAGTTTCTACAAAGGTGTATTGTGACAAATTAACACGATGAATAAATCAGTTATTTCTAACTACAAGGGAGCTTTTTGACCCTGGTTAAAAATGAGTGAAAGCAATATAGTCAATAAACACAATTATTTATATTATTCTCTTTTGCTGCACACTTACTTCCTATACATACCTCTGGAATATTTGCTCCTTTTTTTTTCTTTTTTCTTTTTATTTTTTTGCCAGTCTACTTATCCTGTGACAGGGAAATGGGCTAGCCTAAGGGTAGCTTTGAAATTAATTCAATTGCTGAGAGAATTTCATAGGTTAGGAAAATAATCTAGATAATTTTTAATGATAATTTTTAATTTTTAAACCCAAATTGTAATTTGTATGTAAAATGTTTCATTGAAGGAACTCCACACTATTCAACAATTTTAGAAATAAGTCATCGGCAGATTTAAAAGGACACAAATGGAAGGAACATCAATTTCCTTACTGAATATATCTCAAATACCATGAGGTACACACAATGAATGAATATTAAAACATTATTATAAGAAAAAGTTATTTGCCACAGTCAAAACTGTCTTTCCTCTAAGAATGGGCACTGAACTACTCTGTAAGTAGATATTCAAAATTCACTGCCTCCTGCTTGAATAAATGAGATGATCTGACTTGTTGAACTGTTTCAGTCTACCACGTTTTTTATAAAAATGTGAGATATAAATTGCCATTATGAATAAAATTACTTTAAACCTCACTATTTGACACTGTGGCTACCTTTATGATCTGTTCCATCTGGGTTTAAATGCATTCTTTTCTGGCACTCTGAGCAGCTCATTAGAAATCGTGTCACCGCTTCTCTTGGTAGGAAGGCATAGCTCTCTGAAATCTGCAATGATTCACAAAATAGAAGTGTTATTATATAAGCTGGCTGAGTGTGATTCAACAGAAATGATCATTGTATTTCCAAATAAGACGCATTATTCCATAATGGCAGGAAGCACAATGAAAGCATGCATTGCATACCATGCATCATTTCAAGAAATATCTATCCAACTTGACTGCATGTCTCTTAATAATAGCTAATAATGTGATGTGGAGGGAAAAAAAATCAACCACATCTGAATGGGTATCTTTCTATTTTTGCATTTCTTTTAGTAAAGAATAATCTCAGTGCACAGATATTCTTGTGAATTTTCCTTATTAAAAATTGCCAACATTGTTTATAAAACTCACTGCTACCATCATCAAAATTGTATTCAATTTTACATATCTATTTTAAAATTTTGCCCCAAGTAGAAGCAATAAACTTTGGATTTTGCATTAATGAGCATCTCTTCATTATTGCTTTTCAAAATATTTTAAGTAAAAATAAGAGAATTCTAACCAAACTCATGTACATATTTACTGCAGTGAATCATCCCTTCCACAGAAAATGACACATCTGGAAATGCATTTGGGCCACCTATTTCATTTGTTACTTTATGTCAGTTTTTCATCATTTATGTCCACAATAGCTCACATTGTCACAGCAAGCTTTCCCAGTGCCCTATACAGACAGAGCTTCTATTTTCAGAACCATGATCTAGAGTCAAGTTAAAAATCAATGTTCCTGTCATTGATTTTTTTAAATATTCTTTAAAAAAAAGATATTTCTCTCATCAAAACAAATAATTTCTGAGGTGAAACTGATAAATTGTTAAATATCTCTAAATGAAAATTAACAATGATTCAGATGGTGCTACTAAGAAGTCTGATACAAGACATTTAGTTTTCTACCATAGAATACTGATACATGAAATATGAGATAAGTAGGAGGAATAGATAAGTTGTAAACTAGAGATAAGTGCCACAGACAATTTCTCAGGTGCACGTGTGGCTGTTATGAACACCAATATATTTTTTAATTACATTTATTGGGGTGACATTGGTTAATAAAATTGCATAGGTTCCAAGTGTACAATTTTACAATACATCATCTATACATCACATTGTGTGCTCACCACCCAGAGTCAGTTCTCTTTCCATCACCATATATTTGACCCCCTTTTCCTTCTCCTTCCACTCCCTCCCCTCTCCCCCTTACTCTCTGGTAACCACTAAACTGTTGTCTGTGTCTATGATTTTTTGTTTCTTTGTTTTTCTTGTTCCCTTGTTGCTTTCAGTTTTATATCCCACATTATCAGTAAAATCACATGGTTCTCAACTTTTTCTGACTTATTTCAGTTATGATAATCTCAAGATCCATCCATATTGTCACAAATGGCAGTGTTTCATCTCTTCTTATGGTAGAGTAGTATTCCATTGTGTATATATACCACATGGAAAATATTCTCCTCATGTATAATTGAGTACAAAGTACACCAATTCTATTAATGGCAATGGGGTCATCTTTTTCTTATCCATGCTGTAAAAGAAGCACAGCATTGAGGAAACCCTACATACTAAGATATAAAATTGTAAAGAAATTTTCCCCAGAATTTAATATTTAAATCAGTCTGTGTCACTTAGCCTATCCCACTGACTCTCAAGAAAATAATCCATTAGAATACCAAAGTGAAGGAACAAGTCTGTAATTAAAATTTGGCATGAATGATCTATACACTGGTTTAACTTTACTAGGATTTGAAGTATGATGCTCTGATTTTTAATATAACTATCATTTGTAAATTAAGATGTTTATATTTTTAAAAAATCCTTCTTCATACTATACAAGGAAATGAGGGAGAAAAATTAGCAGAAAATTTTGAAAGCATTTCAAACTATTTTATATTAGTTATTAAATAAGGAAATATATATACAATTTAAATTCCCATTCACTCTCTCTTACACTCTTTCTCTCTACACACACATTCATGTGCACACATACAAAATTTGATTCCTATTCATCTATTTTACCAAGGGAACTAACACCTTTGCCTGGTTTATTTATCCGATTAGAGGTAATTTTTGTCTGGCTCTCTGAAAAATCTATTTTACAATTATGCATAAGTAAAAAAAAAAAGTTTATGATGTATGCCCAGTCCTGATATTTTCTATTTTAACTCACATAGAGTTATAGTCCATTGGGACTAAACGGGGCTGACCAGTAAATTCATTAACAAATAGGATTTGAGAAGAATGCTCCATTGATTTTCATAAAGGATTTCTATTAAATCTTTCCTCTCCTTATATAAAAATCTTCCATAGAAAGACAGATAGGCAAGTGGTGGAGTTGAAGGGGATGCTCTATTGGCTTCCATGGTCCTAATGCGCTCCATCACCCCCCTTTTCCCCATGCTAATAAAGCACGTGTAGGAACCCTTTCTGGGCAGATTTATGATTGACCATACACAATTGTATTACTTGTTCTAGCTCTACTTAGCTCCAAGTCAATTTGTCTTAGAATCATTACTAATCATATGACATTTCATGTATAGCTTTACTCTGGAAAACAACTACCTGTAATGGTCACAGATATGTTTGTGTTTGTGTGCACCTGTGTGCATGGGATAACATAAAGTCCCATTTTGTATCTTAGAAAAGATTTTTAGCAAGTGTTTTATCACATTATTCTTTCTGATGGTATTCTGGCATACTGTTTGGAATGTCACTATATGTTATATAAGTGGGTAAAAGCTCTTATTTGGGTGTACTTTTTCTTGGTGTTCAGAATCCATTTTGGGGGGAGACCTGCCGAGGCTTCCCACTGTCCTCAGGTTTTTTTTCTTCCTCACCTCATGCTCACTGGGGCCCAGAGGCTATGCAGTCTTCTTAGGTACAGGGAGGAGAGATCCTCTGAAGGGACTATTCAAGTCTCATACTGACTTCTGAAACAATATTTATCCTGCCATGGAGGTGAAGAGGGAAAATCAGTCCTTTTCCCTTATCTAGAATCTTTCCTCCCAGACCTTTTTGAAATTAAGAGTCGCGGGCAAACTTCATTGCTGAGGTTCTCAGGACATTTTTTAAAATGAAAAAAAAAGAAATATCCTCAAAAATTCTTAAATTATGATCATTAGAATAATTACATTTCAGAATTAAAGCCATTTGATGAAATCCTGTCTTTGGATCCTGCTGGAATCCTTTGATGATAACCCCATTCAAAGATAACATTGAAAGCCTACATGAGAAGCATTTTTTGAACTTGGGGCCCAGGCTAAATGCCCCTTTATGGTCCCTGCCCTAATGAAAGGCTGTTTCCATGAATGTTTAAAATGCTAAATCAACTTTAAATAGATGTTCATAAATGGTGATAAAACTCAGGGACGTGTTCTTCTAGGCTGTCCATTTATCAAAGTCCTAACATCCTTCACTCAATCTGCAAAAGCAGTTGCAAATAAAACCTAGTAATAAGGAACAGAAATGGAAAATTTTTTTGATTCAGGTACTTGAAATACTATTCTATTAATGCTATAATTAATTATATTAAATGCTATAATCATTCATAAATGTCTATTTCCTTAACCTGCTTTGCAAATCTAATCATTTCTCTGTTTCTAGGAGAGAAATTAGACATCAAATATACAGTACAGAACATTTTCTAGGACATTTGGGAGGAGAATATTTCATTTGAAAATGTATTCCTAGAAACACCTTTATATCTGGGAAAGGTAGAGAGTATTTCCCTAGAATTTGTTTAGGAACACAGAAACGCTGGATCTTGTTAGTAATAAGAAGCAAAATATAACATGAATGGATATTATTAGTATTGTTTCCTCTGAACTAAACACTATAAAGACGACTGCCATGTGACATGCCACATATATTGCTTATAAGAGAAATAAACATGAAAAGGGGGACTAGATCATAGCCATAATGAACAATGTAAACTAATGGCCTTAACATTAATTTATCAGGTAAATAATTTCAAGTAGCTCTTTACTAGAAATGTTATTTTTCTATAAGTCTAGACTTGATTTCTTACATGTGTATAATGCTTTAGACTTTTCACTGGGTTTTTGCAATCATTATTTTAGACAGAGGCATAAAAGGTTTTATGGTAATGCTTTGATAAGTAGATTGACTGATATAAAAAAAAATGAAATGAATTGCCATTGTTAGACAGTAGAGGGCAAAGCAAAGAGCTGAAACTCAAACCTGATCTCCCAAATCCTGGGTTATTTCTATAAATTGAATTGACCATGGTGAGCTTATCCAATAGACAGATTAGACAAATGTTTAGGATCCACAGAAAGCAAGGACATCAAAACAGATTTTTTTAAATTCTGTATTTCAAAAAACCCCTGAGTATCAAAGTGTTATTACAGGATAAAGTCAGCACTTGTGAAACTTCCTTAAACTTGAGTTAGAGCTGAAATTTGTTGTTGCTGAGCTGTGAATTAGCTAGGGTTGAGGGGTGGGGATGTTGTGGCACAACGTAATTTTTTATTACTTACCACTTCTAAAGACCTTAATTAACCTGTGTAGTAAACTTTGATATTGTTTTCAATGAAAATGTTACATTCAAAGTCCGTTAAGATTGGAATTCATCAGTAATGTAGAAAATAATGACTCACATATAACATACAAGTAGAAATAGTCTCTCCCATCGAAAAAAATATGGTAACACTTCTACATAAAAACAATTGTACTGCAGCATCTTTGGATGGACTAAACAATAAATTGGCCTCTGGAGCAAGGATAGTACAACATTAGTAATCTAATGATAAGCTGATCTATGCGAAGAATGTCTAGTGATCAAGTCTCATAAGGGGCACTGCTATTGATATTCCACTTATGGGGAAAAAAATACACACACGCACACACACACACACACACACTTCTGAAAAGTTTACTGACAAAGATTATAACAGAAAAGGATGGTGAGCATTTTACCTTGCCAATGTCTCCGGCTTTCTGAAGAAAGAAGGAACGGACCTTATTTAAAACCCTACAACTATAAAGGCA